TGCACGGAAACGAATCCTACACAGTAGTGGCCATCGAAAAATAAGATTCTTTCCTCAGGAGCCAGAAATTCACACAAGATAGCTCCTAGAGGAGTACATGACGACGAGAAGGCGATGAAAGCGATCAGGTTTGATCTTTGATCGATCCGGCAAGACCCCCCCTACTCTCCACTGGTCAATTGGCTTACTTATTTATGCAGGGTAAAGAACACCGACGACTAGACAAGCATTCCATAATTATTATAGCCATCCCATAAACAAGGTGAGGAGCGAATCTTATCCAGGAGACTCGTGACCCTTTCGAAGGTGCTTATTGGGACCGAACTAACTCCCGAATAGAGACCCACCACATCCGAGAAGCTCCAACAGTAACATGCCCTTCATTCATTCTCCTCTAAAGCATCTGAACAAGAGTGTAATTATTCACCTTTCATCCCCACCAAATGACCACTTTTGGAAACACATTGAGAATAATATTCAGCAGATACAAGGCCTGGAATTAACCTACACTGCTGATCCAAATTCCAATTTTCGCCGCGTTCGCTTACACTAATGAGAACGCTTAAGTCACTTTTGCTCCCGATACCTTTTGTTGACGCACTGAATACATTACCAGCACAATTATAGCTTGATAGAGGCGGTGTAGGGGCAAGAGACGTCCTTCGCCCGTAAATGACTCAAGAATCAGACTTTGAATCAAAGCACTCATAGCACCAAACCCTCCACCCCTTTCACGGCCTCCTAGTCTTGCTTGAGAAAGTCACTGATTTTGACAGGGTTGACTTCTCAAAAATCGTGTGAACAAGAGCGACGCGTGGAGTTTCAGCTACGATTGCAGAATCTAAATGGTAGATCGCATCCATGCGCATCCTTTCCAAGTGACAAATTAATTATTACCAATTAGGACTGAAATGATTCATCTTTATTAAGAATAGGACGCAACATACTTGCGACGAGGCCCCACGATCCTTTATAGATCTAATTCCACACGAACTAGCTAACGTTAAGCTTCTTCTATCTTTGGGATTGGGCAAATCGCTTGAAAGGGTTAGGCTATAGAAACCGATATCGGCTAAATATCACGGTCTCAGGACATGTCAACGGTGAGCCTTATGCAGTTTAATCTCGGTCTCAAAAAAAAAAAAAAAAAACCGACTTATTTGAAAAACAAACATCTATGAAAACCTTTGGAAGTTAAGTTCTCTGATCTCTTTAGGCGACTATATCCATGAACTGAGATTTCCCTCTTATCCAGTACTGATAGCATGCAACACGCTTTACTCCAATTACTCCTGTTCACTGTTCTCTGGGAGAACTCCGCCCCTTTTGAGCGTTGATTTTCAGCTTTGGAAGTAGCTCCTCCCCTACTGCGGTCGCTTGATGAGGTCACCCCGAGGCATGCCTGTCACGTTGGAACGTCGCCTCATAAAAGCTGGAAAAACTCTCTTGTGCAAAACAACCTACGGCTATTCATGCAGATGTGGATGTTTCAGAAGAAGTTTCTTGCCTTCGCTTGACAAATAACTGGTTTAGTCTTTAGTTCAATAATAAATGCATTGGCAATGGCAAAGGCTTCCTGAAAAATGGCCGAATCGGTCCTATTTTTCATTGCATCCCTCTTTGTTTTGTTGCAAAGCTGCTCCTTGATTGCAGCTAATGACCTATTTATTCGGAATCAAGTTTGCCATTCAGTCAGTTTTCCTGTTCATCCCGTCGTCAACGATGTTGTGTTCTGCTTTTTACTCCAGAAGCTCGAGACTTGCCGACGTCCCCGTCAGAAAAACCATAATCGCTTTTCCGTCTGATTAGCCTTGAGGCCGTCTCTGCATAAGAGAGCACTTCTCTACGCTACAAAAAACATCCTGCAAATTTCGTTTCCCCTCGAAACTTCCTTAATGAACTGGTGCTCTGACGCTAATTTTAACTGCAATTACGTCTTCAAGTCGAAAATCGCCTGATCCAAAAAGTGGCACCATGAGCGATGATGTCAGCAGCGGACGACCCGCCCTTCACCCATCGCCCTCTCGTCAGCCGGGAACTCCTCCTCCTCGTTCGCCTCCATTGCGCTTGGCGACAGCTGCCCCCACGGGAACACTACTAGCAGCATACAACAGCGTCAAGGGAAACGGACTAATGCGACCACCGGCTACACAACCTGTCTATTCAATCCATCAAAAGAGCACCTCCTGCTCTGGTCCTCCTGTCATCACCCCCAAACTCTCACAATAACTCATTCTACTCGAAGGTTGTGATCTATTGGCTTGAAGTTCCGGGATTCTTCCTTTCATCTATTGTGGTTGTTTTCTTCAGTACTCTTTCATGTTTGGCATCACAACATAGACGATTGTTGATGCAACATCTCAAGGGGACTTTCAATTATCTTGCAACTTTTAAGGGGGCTATTAATTTTTTAAACTTAGCTTTCAGGAAAGCTCTAAACGGCCTCTTGGAACAACTCAAAGCTATAGCTTTGAAATCGAAATCGAAATTTCTTACTTACGAAACGCCAGGCAAAGCTCTCGCCCTGTTTCTTTGTATCTTAGATTTTCCTTTTTCATTTCATTCTTGCTTTGAAACAATATTCATTTTCTAGGTTACAGCTGCCCAGCTTTATAATCAGTGCTTATCGCTTAATTAGTTCTTTATTTACTTGCTTATACCCATCTTTAAATAAATGATTACTATTTAATTACTCATAACCGAGAAAATCCTGTTCGGGGTCAATCATGCGCTGTGCTACTATACGCCATGTCTTTGACTTGCATTTGAAACCTTGGAATCATTCACATGTGTTCATTCTAGCCTGTGCAATAGTTTTAGTGGCCAGTCGACTTGAAATTTGGGATTTTATCCTCTCGTTCGTGTTTCGTATCTATTGCCGGTCCCTGAGGTAACGCTTGTTTGATTGGGTACGATAGGCATGTTGTATTCGGCGGCTCCGTCCACTATGCTATTTCTGTATTATTATTCTCCACAGGATACAGATCGATGAAATTTTTCGATTTTTCAATTTATTTCAGCTGTATAGCTTCTACCTCGGAAGTTAAGGAAACTCCAACTCTTCTTACAAAGCGTGCAGAAGTAAATAAATAAATAAATAAATAATCTATGCCTTATTTCTGGAAGCTTCGAAAAACGAATCGAACTTTGAGTTTCCTCATCTTTTGCAGGTGGTACTAATTTTTCACGTTCACATTTTTTTCTTTTTCCTCATTGATCCTCATCCTAATTAGCATAATCATATGTATAACACTCAGAGCAAATCAATCAATTTGGCTTGGTTGGGAGGGACTTCTTTTCCCAACACATTGGTCACGATCAAGCAGATTTCTTGCTGAAACTAAACTACTACTAGAAATCTCAACCTTTTTTCCACTGCATTTCTTTAGCCCAGATCGCTTCCTCTTGAAATAAAGAGTGCCCCCATTAGAATCGCTCACGACGAATTGCTGATGGGTTTAAGACTTCGAGTTTTAGTTAGAGTTTTCTCTCTGATTTTAAAAACTTTTTTACTACTTGTTCATGTTTCCCGGGTAGTATTAATTTTCGCGTTTTTTTCCCGTCCCATTAACCACTTTTAGCTCAAAAGTGTCTGCTACGCTGGACTAGCGGCAACCTTTGTCGGCATTTCTGATGAATTGCTTGGATGAATACTAAGAACTTGTAACTGTTTTCATATTCTAGTACAATTCTTTGTTTTTTTTCCTCCCTTCGATGCATTATTTGTCGAAGGACAACTGTTCCTCAACGTTTTTGTCTGCTGGGAAATCTTTTGGAAAAACGTGATTCGCAGCTCGGATCTCTTAACATCACTACAGCGAGTGAAGTGTGAGAGCTCAAAAAACGCTCGCATTCAGACATTTTTCACTGAGACAAGAAAACTCGTCCAAACTGCTGGCAAGTTCCAGGCTTGTTTGAGAATCCGGGGAACAACGCCATTCCTTGCTACAAGTGAATGTACTAGTTAGTAAGATCGAAGAATAGTTAATGTACTGGACCTTTGAAATACTAGAGTAGGCGCACCCGTTTCCCTTCCTCGTCTTTTTCTCACCGTATCCAGAAACAAAGCTTTGGTATTTTTCATAGCGACTTTTGCGGTCCTTGTTTTCCATGAGGGACTTTGGAGCTTCGAATCAAATTTATTGCTCAGGAAAAGAGCACCGTGGGAAAGGAAACTGATTGTCATGTTCAAAATCCCGATAAAGTGTGGAACTTTTCCGATGTGGCTTCGCTGTCTCTTCCTTTCTCTTTAACATAAAAAATTAAATAAAAAGGGAGGGTGCAATCGCAAGATACGGGGGCATTTTGGTAGCAGTCCATTTTATCTCGTAAAACATCCCTTTTTGTTGAAAACGACATGCCTTAGGCAGAAGAAGAAGCGAGACTCTAATGCGTAAGCGATTTTTTCTCCCAAGTTCTTGCTCCCTGCTAAGAATAAGCCCTGTAGTGGAGGATGCCCCCGTATATTGCGATAGCACCAAAAGGTGTATAAAAGCAAACATGGAGCGATTGCTCCTAAAAGTCCATGTGTGGGTGAAACAAGAACACATTCAAACGCTACCACGATTTTGAGCATAAGTAGGCTGGTGGCGCATCCCAAAAGTCAATGGATCGATGTCAGCGTTGAAGTCTTCAAAAGCAAAGTCGCTTTCAACTTTTCAAGACTGACTTTTTCATTTCTGGTTGGAGGAAAAAAGTGCAAAAGTGCGGGGTTTTAATTGTGCAAGGGCGATGGAAGACAACAATGGAATTGACTCAGCAAATGTTAGGACAAGCCAGCTTTTTATGAAGTACAATCGCGTGACAAATTAACTTCCGGCTGACTTTTCAGACGATGTTTTCATCGATGAAACTTCGAAAAATGCTCATTTCACAAGCTTTCCTTGGGATGGCTTTGGTTCTTAGAGATAAGCTCTTGACTTACTTGGTGGGGCACCATAAATCGAAGGGCTCTGTAAGGGCATTGCAAATCCTATTACGTCGGCAGTGCACCTAAGAAGTGACCTTTTCCTCGTATTACACTTCACTCTTGATTATTCGTTTATGAAACCCCACATTTCTTATTATATTATCTATATATAAACATTTCTGAGGCTATGGGGCTGTGAAGATATCACTTTTACGGTCCGATGATCGGATCCTACCAGTATTTTTAGCCATCCCCATCTTAGATATTTTTATTTTCACCACATCTGTCTGCGTTAGGCAGAACATGGAAGATAAGCTGGCCCGTGAAATCATTGCTTGATATGGATGCGCTTTCAGCTTCCTCCAATTCTCCTCAGAGGCAGGGTCCGGGCTCAGCCTTGCTGAGGTACATGGTCGCTTCCGTAGACAAAAGACAAAGTGTGTGGTCCACCACTGTAGAGGTCGCGCCTTAACAGGTGGGCCGTATCCTATCCTTCCCCCAGGGGACGCGTCCCCCGCCGCTGATTCTACCTAAGCTTGGGGGAGACATGGTTGCGTCATGGGACTTGCCATTGAGCTCGTGCTGTTGTAACTACCCTCCCTGCGACACTGTCTCTGCGGACGCGTCCGCGGGTCTCGGCGTCTGAATACGCAGTCGTAGGCTGTGCATATGACGAAACCCTGCCTCTCCAACAAAAGGGCAGGATTAGCGGTGGGGGACGCGTCCTCTGGGGAAGGATAGGATGCGGCCCATGGAAACGTATATACGCTAGGCGCTAGGCTCTAGGAATTGGATCCTCTTACGCCCAAAAAAAGCCGTGACCGCCCACCGTCGACACCTAATCTGCGTCACAGTGTTCATCTGCCATGTGTTCTCTACTCGAACTTCTCTGGCTTCTCTGCGGCTCAAATTTACTCTCATCCCCATGTTTGTTTCTTAGACTTCTCCGCAGCATAAAGCAAAATTCTCGTATTTTCCTGTGTCTTTCACGATTTTCCTTCTCTTTTTTCCTCCACTTTCGGTCCAGTTCAATTTTTGCCCAAATAACGAAAACCAGACGATCTACCCTCAATTTGGAAAAGGACGAAGAGCGTCGAGTGCAGACCTCACACCACAATCGACGACGTTAAGAAGAACTTGGCTTTCTCTTTTCTTTTCTCTAGGCCGCTTTTGTGGTGTGTGGACTGCACTCGACGCTCTTCTCGTTCCTCGGCGTTTCTTCTACAAACTGTGTTGGCCACTCAGAATTGTATAAATTATTTTCCATCTTTATTCGCTGTAGTTTTGACTAGCTTTCACTATTATTTCATTCTGTACTTCATCTCCGAGAACACGCGGTGGGAAGCGAGCAGCCGCGTAGCGTTTATTTGTTATTGATGGGGCGATATTTCTTAATATCTGTAAAAATGAATAAACCATGGACGGCTTCAACCATAATTTTTTTGTAAGCCGTCGGTAATGCTTCCATACATGGATTTTGTTCCTCTTTGTTTATTTGGTCAACTTGTTGTTTATGTTTCTATAGGGATTGATCCTCATCCAAAAAACAACTAAATAAGCCACTCTGTGATATGACTTCCTTTGTCGGGCATTTAGAATTATCTTGCTTGCGCTCTGAGCTTGTTTACTTCAAAAAAAAAACTCGTCCGAAATTGTTTGAAAGCGAAAAGTGGCAAAGAACTCGTCCACTGATTCCAGAAATGGATTGCCAGCGATAGCAGAACGGCTAGCATCCATTCTCCGCGCACCTCACCGACACGGCTCATTTGAGATGGCTGTTCGGCTGATTCTAGTCTGTCTGCTTCTTATTCAGGCCGTATTCGCTGATTGTCCACAGGGATGCCAATGTGACACAGACACGGTTACGGTAGGTGATTTTTGTCTTAATCTTCTATCTTCTTCGGAAATCTTCTTTTTTGATGGCTGACTTCAGTAGTAGTTGTTCGTCCGCAGTCGGTCGACCCACCTTCCGGCCAGCCGACTGCTACGATGCTGTGTAGCCGCTTAATAGCTGTTTTTCTTCGAGGGCACGCAAACACACACAAATATACTACGAATCAGCAATGCGATGAACGGCTGTCTTGACTTTTTACCTCCTTCGGTGTAAGATTAGGGGTCAGGATTTCCCTAGACGTCGTCAGTTCCTGGATAGAAAAATTGCCATCGTGGGTAATAAAATTAAAAAGAAGTGACCACTATGTTCCAGTTAGTCTGATATGTATACGGTCAGGAAAGACTCCACCAAAATGTTACTGGTGCACTGTCAAAACTTCTAGTCTTGTACTATGGTCATTAGGTAGCATGGAGCTTTTTGGAGCACCCCATAGACCAGATTTGAAATTATTTTTTACTCTGCATTTTTCGAAGACCCTTCCAATTTCTCAAAGCCTATAGATGGCAGATGGTACCATTAAGTGACCGTTCGATATCAGAGAACTTCAGCTAACGAAGAGCACTAGGGTTTGAAGCGTGAGTTAAACAACCACCGGAAGCCCCAAATAAAGGTGGAGGGATGTCATAACGAAGGTCTTTAGTGAAGTTGGAAGGAAGGGCAGAGGAGGCTCTGGATAGGACATTGGACACAGGAAACAGTGAGCGCTTGAAGAAGGACAGTTGTGGATGGTTCAATAACTCTTAATCTGGAACTGGCGACGACATCCTTCCAACAGTGCCAATCGCGTTTTGGGATAATCTCAGAGCGCCTAAAACCGCCAAAACATTACAACAGCTAACTCTTCCATTAGATTAACCGAAATCGTATAGTAAAGCATAGAAAGTCGTGATGGATAGCGACAGACAGCGACTTGGGAGAAGGATGGCTTGGGAGCAGAAAAATAGGAAGAAGATTGCTCAAGGGCAGACTCCACGAAAAGCCGGCTATGAGCGTATCCTAAGTGAATGAAGAAGACCGATACACGAGCCTACTGTTAATACAGTGGTCGTAGCAGAACATTCTATTGCAGAACCCCCGACCCGGCGTTCCCCTTGACTCCACTTTGAACGCATGTCTGCGTCTCGCTGGTCCCCGTTCTCTTTCATCTCTTCGTCTCTCTGCTCTCTCCCATTCTGGCACTTCGTGTTCCTCAGACGGAAAGTCGTACAATGCTTGAAATGAATCCACAGAAAAGGTTCCATAAAAGGCGATTCAGGCTGTTCTTTCACCCTTTTTGATTACGAGCTGAATGTTAGCGATAGCTCTATAATAAAACTCCACTGCTCACATCCTGCTATGCCATCTTTTCATGGAGCAGCTCACCGAGCTGAAGTTATTGAGCTTGGCACGGCGAAGTGTATGCCGTGATATGCTCGCCGAATGGACCAATAATTCAATTAGTGCAATCTGGCAGCGTCGATGATTGATGCGGAAAAACTCGTTCGCGTTTACTTTACGAGAACGTCATGGGGATTTTAGAGAGTACTGCGTAGGTGCCTGGCTGAATCTTCTAAAAGCGAGCGCTGTAAATTAGTGTATGGCCCGAGTGCTCATACAAATGCCTCTGCGACTACAAATGGGAGCCAAGTGCGCGGCGCATCGACAATGACAAGGGCTCTAGTGGGTTATGTAAAAGCAGGAAACAAATATAAACGAAAACATAGGAAAAAATAATACAATAGGCGCTATCGCAGTATACGGGGGCATTTGGATAGCAATGCATTCAAAACTGCATAAAACATGTCCTTTTCTAAAAGCGGAACTAAGCCTTAGGCGGGAGACGAGGGACTCCATGAGTGCGTAGACCATCTTTTATTTTCCTTGGAGAACCTGCCTCCTCTTATCCTCTTAGGGTTAATCTTAAAGGATGCCCCTGTATACTGTGATAGCGCCATAGGTTAGTAAAAAGTGGTATGAGGGAAGACTATCAACCTTTAGTTTCTTCCGTATGAGTTTATCCCTTTACCTTTTTTTCGTTTGTCTTGTTTTTTTCAAATATTTTTCGACGACAATTAATTCCCGCGAGAGTTTATAATTGTCGAGCGTTTATTTAGGAATCTCCCCCGAGGGCATAATTATCGCTAGAGTTGCTCGCCGTAGACTTTCCCTAAAAGTAATTTAGAGGGATTGGGAATTTAGAGGGACACAGCAATTGCCGTAAAAATCCACAATTTCCGTAAAAAATCAATCAACATGGTGTTTAGAAAAAAAAACTGCCTTGTTTGCTTATACGTAAGCCTTACTATCGAGATACTGCAAAAGTAACATATCGGTTTTTCGTCAGATTTCAGATTTAATGCCATCAAAATCATAAAAAATATTCAACAAAAAGTTGAAAAAATACATAAGCATAAGAAAACGGCGGCTAGTTCCATTTCAACCTAATAATGCATTGTCAACTATAATAATAACGACGTGAATGCCAGAATAACAATAATTAAAATAAAAAGTTGTGTATATCCCCTATGCAACCCTGTAACGTTTTTGATTATTGTGACCTTGAACTCCGATCAAGGTCAGCCCTCCTTTAAGGAACAACACAGTGTGCGGAACCATTAATTTTGGGTTAAAGAATAGGTTTAGTAATTCAAGTGTGTGTGGCTATATTGCCGACTGTGATAAAGGGTTAATTTTTTTACAATAATTTTCGAGCTAATGCGTGTCTAGTGTTATGGGGCCGTGTGTACGTGCAAAGGGGGGCCGTGGACCTGCTTTTGACCTGGCAATTCACAGTTTTCATAAAAATACATGAAGAGCAAAATTAAGTGCGTTTCCCATTTTGAAGTCAAATATGACACCCCATTCGCGATCATCTCTGGCCATACCCGCCGTCCTTACCCACCCCTTCCTTCCATTACCGTCCTAGAGAGGTTCGGGGTGAATCGTTCACCTGTTTCGAGCACCAAATTATTAAAGGACACCGCTGCGACCCATGGTGGAAAATGGTTGTGAGAGAGGGAGGGCTACTGGAGAGATGCCCGGGATTCAAGACGGATCCTTTCAAGTGGGATAGTGAGAAATTTTGAATCGGCACACACTACGGTAAAGCTTGTCTTCAACGCCTTTGTGTACATGTGCGTCAGCTCCTCTCAGAATTCAATATCTCTCTGTTTCTGACCCTGCTTGTGGCTAACTCCACATTTTTAGGTAACTTGTTCGGGCCTGCACCTGCTAACCCTTCCAGACACGATTCCGTCCGGTTTCGAAGTGCTCGTCATTCGCAACACTTCAATTCGTTCGATACCAAAGCAAGCTTTTCGTCGAATGGACCGATTACGGGAGATTTATGTGGAGAATTGCGATCATTTGACGTTTCTTGAGAAGTTCGCTTTCAAAGGGATGAAGAAATTAAGGTTCTTATTCACCTTCTTATTTCTATTCATTTAGCTCTTTGTCCGTAAATCAAAAGGCTCTTGTTATAAGAGCTGAATTTTATCCCAAAAATATGGGTACCGGACAGGACGCGTCGCGCGGCAGGAAGATAGAGTCAGCGGACAAGTTGTAGCGCGTGCTGTAGTGATTTCGCGTCAAGTTAAATAGAATGTACCACGTTGCACAGCACGCGCTGCGACTCGTCCGCTGACTCTGCTTCTTGCCGCGTGACGGGCCTCCTGTCAGGGTTCCAGGATGAACTCTTCGAAGAAGATGAAGAACTTATAAAATGAAACAATCTATTACTAAGGACAAAGACTTAGATTAAGTTAGGCAATAGACGGTGATAAATTCCCTTTTGGAATGAGCTATGCATTCCACTTTTAGTCACTGTTGTAGTGGTGTTTGGAATGACTTGACCCATACAATGACTTGTGTGGGTCAGCCAATCAGACATTTCATATTTCCATGTAAGTCTGGCACCAATTTGTTGACCCCGAGTTAAGGAAGGCTTGGTAGGCCTGGGCGGCGCACGTTTCAAGACTTGATCGCCGGACCGCGGACATATGTGATAAATAGCACCTCTCACCACTACATCACCTCCGCACATGAGACTCATCGCAATAGGTGGAAAATGTTGGTAATGAAGCGTTTTCCCTTTTCGGGACTGGGAGAGGAGGTGATCAAGTCTTATACTCGTGTTGTTCGCATTCTCAAACTCGAAGATGATGTGGAATTAGCAAGGGATATTCCCGTAATGAATGCACTGTGCCTGGTGGACCGTGCACCGCACAGTCTAATCGAAGTATAATAATAGAGGGGATTTTAATGTTTGTGAGCTTAACGTAACCCCTGTTTTGGAAGAAGAGAAGAACGTCGAGTGCAGACCACACCACAAGTGACGACGGCCAAGAAAAAAAGAGAAAAAGCCATTTTTCTTGGCCGTCGTCACTTGTGGTGTGTGGTCTGCACTCGACGCTCTTCTCGTTTTCCGAAATAGAGGGTATCTGTAATCCCGAATTAACTTAAAAGCGGAGTTTACGATGAAAGACAGCCCTCTACCAGTCACGAAAAGGAGATCAGTGACCAGGAATGAAGAAAAACCAAGAGAAATGGCCCAGAACCCGAGAAATGGAGACCCCTTTCTTGCCCGCTGATTTCCGCATTGATGCGACTCTCATCGGTGCTGCCCTCTTCAACGCTAACGCTCTCTCTGCTGAACGGCTAGAGCTAGACAGCGAGAAGGTGTGAGTGTCACGGCTTGAGCTGGGCGGATATGGCCTATCAGGAGCATACTCTTCGCTGCAAAACGCGCATCGACCTGCACCCTTAGTGAACCCGCCTGCCTTCCAAATTGGTACATTCCCCTTTTTCGACCATCGATTTTGTTGTGTAATCCTCCTTCAGAACAAATTTTGCCTGTTCAAAAGTCGTAATATGAAAATCGAACTGGGTGGACGAATCTGGAAATGCCTTGCTTATCGTTAGTCAGATAGACGGGGCTAGTACTGCGCAGGGAACAAAAAAATCCGTGTTCTTTTGCATACTCAGCCGCTAACGACTTAAAAACAGTTAACCTTCAAACGTATGGTTGTGCAGTTATCAGGGAAACTCAAAGTTGGTTTGTGCAGTTATCAGAAAGATTAATTTAAGATTTGTCTTTCTGCCCTGTTTCAAGTTTTTGTTTTAATTTTTTCCTTACCTTCCCCTTCGATCATTTCTCCTTATATTCTCGTCAATTTTTTCAGTAGTGGTAGGGGACTCAGTTACCAGACATTCATTGCAATTAGCCTACTCAAAATTACTATAGCCTTAGCATTGACCTCTTGAAAAGCTCGCTACTTGGCACCTTCCATAGCTGCTGGCTAATGTTAGACTTTCACGCCTCATTGATTTGAAGGTGACTGCTAGCCTAGCTCATCAGCCACCACAGCACTTAGGGTCAAGTCGCAATTAACAGTTAATTGTGTCACGCGATCCGTTGCGACTATCCGGTCAGGCAAGCCTGCCCAGGGATATCCAAGTCCGCACTACCTTGAGGTAAAATCGCACGCTTTGAGGGAGGTGTTGTTGAGGTCGGGGCTGATACAGAACGAACTGGAGGAGTATCAAGGCAATTTCCTGTCTCCAGCAAAGCTCTGGGGCGAGCAGCGCTTTCGAGGCGTCGCCAAACAACTCACACCATTAGCCGACCGGATGTGAACTTGGCACCCCGCGTGACCCGCCTCGAGAGAGTAGTGTCAGATATCGAAAAACAGCTTCGAGGAGAAAATCCTTCGGAGGGGTTGCTTTCTTAGCCACAAAAGTCTGAATAGCTAGCACTCGTTCGGCTACGGCCTTAGGCGGAGGTTTGGGTCCATCTGCTCCACAAGCTATTGAAATTATTCTGTCGAAAATGTCGACCACACACCACAACTGACGACGGCCTCCACAAATATAAATATCTCTTGCCAATATAATGATTGGCCTGTTGCAGTTGTATTCCATCAGTTTTTGATAATGGTGAAACTCCAGTTCGGGGGGGCCACTCCATTTTTTCTCCAATACTCAAGATAAGGATTAGAGGGCTCACGACACGTAATCGACTCATTTAAAGTAGACTTCTGATAAATATTGGTGTAATGGGTGAGAAACCCTGAAACGTTTTCACATTTCCGCCTGCCATGACCCAAGGGAACGGTCCTGGACCAGGAGAAAGGACACCTCCGCAAAGGGCTAAGGGTGCAGGAGCTCCAGGGTGGATCACCTGTGCAGAAAAGT